AGGATCTAATAGCGTAGCTGAGGTTTTTGTGATGCGTGTAGGCTCTGAAGTGACTTGTTTTAGACCATAACCTTCAAAGCAACGATTTACATTATTGTCAGCGTTAGTTAAATAGATATTTACATCACCAACTACAAAAATATTATCAAATTGTGGCACAATTGATGTCAATATATCATCCAGCAAATTAATAAAATTTGGCACACATCCCTTCGGTGGTTTATATAAAATACCAACTGAAACACATCTGCTATTAATTTTAATTTTAACCCATAAATACTCCAAGTCTACACTTTGCCCAGATGTGACAGTTTGACAGTGATATTTACTTTTGACAAAAACTCCAACTCCACCACCACGGCTATTTCTTTCATATCGACAAAAATTATATCCATCAATATGTATAAGAGAAGATGGTATATCAGTTTTAAGCCATGTCTCTGACACAGCTACAATATCAAAATCTTTATCACAAACAATAGTGGAAAAGTCACCAAAACCAGCTAAGATCGATCGAACGTTAATATGTCCAATTTTTAAAGTGTTATGCTTATAGATATTCCTTTTATTCATACTTTATATTAACTTTTAGATTAGATATATAATTTTGAATAATTTGACATTTACTTACATCTTTGGCAGCGTGGTTACAATCTAAGCTGGTATTGTACTTACTATTATAAATAAAATAATTACTACATTTCTTATGATCTGCTTTACAATCTTTTATAGAGTGCTCGTCTGCACAAATAGGACAAATCCTTTTACCTTCACAATTTTTTTCTTCATGACCTAGACCCGAACACTTATAACATCGAACAACCCTAAGATAGTCATTTACTGGACATCCCTTCCAGCCTATATGCACAAAAGATTTTTGCAACAAATGGTTTCTTAACAAAGGGGAAACTTCCAAAACAATATCACAATATGTCTTTTGAGAATATCTTAGCACAGTAACAATTTTAAGATCACAGGAACTAAAGGCATCCATTTGGTTGAGAGAGAAAATAGTGTTAGCTATTTCTTCGTAGGACATATCTTCATCTATATGAACATTATTTATAATAAGTCGGGGGTTAAACTTTTGGGCTTCACTTACCAAGTTGATTATTTATCGAAGTTTTAAGTTTATCCAGAGCTTTTTAATTATCACAATTTATAATTAAACCATTCTTAGTTTTTTTTTGTACCATTAATGCATACTTTTAAATCTGCAGGATTTACACATTTTTGAATATCTTCTTAAACATTTGAATTGTTCCCTTTATTTATTGTTTGTATTAGGAGACTTGACGAAGGCATTTTGTTAGCCACTGGTTTCTTTAGCATATCACTGTAAAAAGATGGCCCACTGCCACCGGCAGCAAAACACTATTTGAGATAGGTATTGACGATAACTTGTCGGACAAATCTTTAACTTTTTCTTGAAGAAGTTCATTATTTAATTTTAGTTCGTGATTCAAATTAGATAAAAGCTCATTTTCTCTTTTCATATATCCATTAAAAATAACTTATGTTTTAAATCAGAAACATTATCGCTAGGATTTTGATCAACAGAACAATTTTCTATGCAAGACTTACATTTCCATTCCTTTCTTTCCGTGAAAAATAACTTAGACACTGTTTCAAAACACTTGTAATGAATAATTACACTACATTTATTGTTGGAACACTTAACACAGGTTTTTCTAATACTTGATAAGCAGATAAAACAATTATTATTCTCGGAGCGATCAACCGGAACGTCCGCCTCGGTTGGCATTGGTATTAGTCTAATCAACAAGTTCAAAAGCGTGTTTTTGGGACATACTATTACGAAAATTATGTTCAATAGCTCATTCGATTCGGAATAATGTCTAGATCAATGTGTAAAGAAAAATTTTGCAGTGCATAAAAAATTGCAAAAGTTATAAACAATTAAACACCTCAAAAACATGGTGTTTGGATTTTCGCCTCTAGTTTGTAAACTATAAATATATTTGGATTTTTCAAAAAAGATCCTTAAAGAGGAGGAAATTTGTTATAAATAAGTTTTGACTCCCGGAACTGTACCTCCGTTATTTATAATTTTAATTTAACGCTCAAAGTAGCCTTCCGCGCGCCATTTTTAGGTTGCGCGCACGGCGTCGAAACCGAGTACGTTACATAAAATAATTTTTTTAAGTTAATAAAACTAAATTCAAAAATTTAAAAAAATTACGGTGTATTCTAAATACTTAGAAGAATTTATTCCCGTTGGAATTTTTCATAAAAATTAATTTTCCAACAAAGTAGGTTATTGTTAATTAACAAAATTTTTAGAATTTCTCTCATCATTACAAATTGTAGTGATGAGCAATATGTCACAGTCGGTGATTTTTTCACAGTGATTGAACGATCACACTCACAACCTATGATTGAGCCACCACTAATAACAGTGATTAACAATTACTTTTGATTCACAATGACCTGCGATTTATGTACCGCGACTGTCTTACTGGCGCTGATGCTACACGCCGTGCACGCTTTACGTCGACCTAGAGAGCAGTGATCGATGCATGATCTATTTCGTTTTACAGTCTCACGTCTACAGTTCGTTCATTTAGTTCGTTTGGCTTTACGTTCGTGTTTTTACTATTAGTCCAGTCATTTAAGCTTAAATTAGGTAAGAATCTCGGAACTGGAGATACCCAGCTGTAAGTCTGTAAATACTTGTATATTGACACGCTAAAAGTTATTTCAAAACCTACATATGGTAGGGTGTATGCAACTATTAAATTTCAAGGTCAAATGTCACAAAAATCGGTTTTTTGCGCTTTTTTGTAAATATCTCATTTTTTATGGGTTTTTTGCTATTTGTATTTATTATCAATATTGTAGAATACAAAATTCTCTACAAATTTTGTTTAAAAAAATTCAGATTACAGTAAGAACGTAAAAGCTATGGAGCAGCAGAGAAGATGAAACAATAGTTGTACTAATTACTCAAGAAAAATTCTTATCAAATCGAAATAACAAAGATATGCTCATTAATATGTTAATTGAAAAATTACAAGCTGAAAATATTACTACTAAACAAGCCAGAGATAATGCTGATGTTCTTATTGTTGAAACTGCAATTGAAGAATCAAATTCAGAAAAAACTGCAGTTATAATAGGACAAGATATTGATTTACTTGTCATTTTAATTGGGCGTACACTGTCTTACGAACAAGACATTTTCTTTAAAAAAGTTGGGAAAGGAAATGTAAAAACGGGGATATACTTGACTAAAAGTTTTAATAATTATCCTCATTCCAAAACACATATTTTATTTCTGCACGCATTAAGTGGCTGTGACACAACTTCTGCGCTTTTTAAAAAGGGAAAAAATAATTTTTTAAAGTTTTTGAGAAACTGACAAATTTGAATGAACTAGCTGCAGCATTTGAGAAAGAAAATTGTTCGGCCCAGAGATTATTAGAGAGTGGAACTCAAATCTTATTGGCAGTCTATAATGCTCCTAAATCTGTGAAAAGTCTCGATCATCTTCGTTATATGCATTACGTCAAGTCTACAAAACTTAATTAACCTGTGCAGCTTTCAAATATTCCACCAACAAAAGCAGCTGCTCATCAACCTTTCAAACGTGTATATTATTAAGTTCAAACTTGGTTAAGGCATGATTTGGAACCCCAGGTATGGAGTTGGGCAATGCGAAACGATTTTCTGGAGCCTATCATGACAATTTTACCACCTGCTCCAGAAGATTTGCTAAATACAATTTTCTGCAACTGCAAGAGTGGTTGTGGTTCGCGATGCTGATGCAGGAAAGCGGGCTTGCAATGCTCTTTAGCTTGTGGCCAATGTAATGGGCAAGCTTGTTTCAATGCTCTACCATATCAGAGCGACATTAACGAAGATGGAACCTTTGACCCCGAAATCATGGAAGAACTTGAGAGAAATGTCGTTAAAGACGATAATGAAGACCAGTTTGAAATTTACCAGCAGCCGGAAGACGACGATGAAGAGAAAGAAGATTATTAAAATTATAAATTGTAGTTTTTGTACCTTTTATTCCATTTTTTTACTTTTAATAAAAATAAATGTATTGAATGAAATTTTTTAATAAAAAGATTAATTCATAATTTATTTGTTTTTTTTTTTCATCATGTAAGAATTTATTAATATTAATTAGGTTAAAATTCAAATATAATTCCTATATTTTCATTAACAATTTTGCAATTACATAAGCACGTAAGTGTTGTTAAATAAATTAATACTAAATAAAAAGTGGATAGGTTAGGAAAAAAAATGATAAAATATAATATAATAGTTAATAAAAATTGACAAATATTTATAATCATTGATTTATCGATATTTCATCAACTATATATGGCGCGTTTTCGACCGAAGGCACCGGTTGACCTGAAGTGATGCTGTGACCGCGCGCTCTCCGTCATCTATCTCGAAAACGGTTCACCGTATGAAAATTTTTTTTAAACAAAATTTTTAGAGAATTTTGTATTCTACAATATTGATAATAAATACAAATAGCAAAAAACCCATAGGAAATGAGATATTTACAAAACAAAGCGCAAAAAACCGATTTTTGTGACCTTTGACCTTGAAATTTAATAGATGCGTACACCCTACTATATGTAGGTTTTAAGACAACTTTTAGGGTGTTAATATACAAGTATTTACAGACTTACAGCTGGGTATCTCGAATTCCGAGGTGAACTTACTATAATGATTGGACTATATGCACCGCTTATTCCGCGATTAGAGTGATTTGGATGGTGTGACCCGACATACAAAATAAAGGGCGCTTTCGTTGATGCAGTAATTAGTTTGTGGCTGTGATTTATTCCTTTCTAAGTTTTGAAAATAATAAAATGTCGGATTCAAAAAAAAGAAAATCAAGCGAACTTTGGAATTTTTTTGATCAACTAGATGAAGTTTTTGCTAAGTGTAATATTTGTTCAACTAAATTATCTTATAAAATTAGTATTCCAAATCTTCGGCGACATTTGCAGAGCAAGCACCTCTCCGTAACTGTACCAGTTCCTTCAATGAAAAGTAGTGTCAATACCGGCAGTCATAATATAAATATTACTGAAACTTACAATAATCCTCAGCAGGTAAAATTATTTATAAACTATTATTTAGATTTTACATTTTGCAATTACTATTTTAGAGTAATGAAAATACCGATGTCCATGCAGGTCCGAGTAGCTCGACAAATGAAGAAAAAAATATAAATCTTAAAAGAAAGAGGAATAATTCCGGTCAACTACAAATATCATCGTTTGTATCGAGACCACTTGTTTTAAACCGTAAGGAATGTATCGATGGTAAATTGGTTTCACTTTTTACAAAAAGATTTCATCCGTTTAGACTGGTGGAAGAAACTGCTTTTAAAAATGTTGTTAACGCCTTAAACCCCAATTATGAGTTGCCAAGCAGGCATATGATTTCCCACACTATGATACCCGCTATGTATGAGAAATGTAAGATACGCGTGCGAGACCTAATTAAAGAAGCAAAAAAAGTGTGTATCACAACAGATAGTTGAACATCTCGCAACAACGATGGATACACAGCAGTTACAGCTCATTACATAGACGATAACTTTGTAATGAAGTCAGTTCTTTTGGAATGCTCCAATACTACTGATCAACATACATCAGAAAATTTGGTCAAAGAACTTCAAAGAATTGTGTCGGATTGGGGAGTTCATGATAAAATATTATTAGCTGTATTAGACAATGCAGCAAACATAAAAAATGCGATCGATACCAAATTAAAATGGAAGCATCTTGGTTGTGTAGCTCACACAATTAACTTAATAGTAAAGGATGGCTTAAATTGTGATGAGACAGTAACAGCTACAATCGGAAAAGTAAAATCAATCGTTGCTTTTTTTAGAAGAAGTACTATATCTAATCAAAAGCTGCTAACTTATCAAAAAAACCAAGGTAATAACAATCCATTAAAGCTTATCCAAGACACTTCAACAAGATGGAATAGTACATACTACATGTTAACTAGATTTGTACAACTGGAAGATGCAGTTAAAACAACAGTTGCTTTAATTATTGCTAAACTTTCTGTTCTAAGTCAAAATGAATGGCAATTAATAAAAGAACTTTGTCAAATTCTAAAACCATTTGAATCGGTAACAAAAACATTTAGTGGCCAATCATATGAAACAGATCTATTGTTATACCCATTGTAAATGGCATATTTAATATTTATGTAAAACTACAAGTAACAGATTTTATGGATTGCATTAAGATTGTACTGAAGCAATTCGTTAGTGGAATCAGTGAACGATTGGGCAAAGTAGAAAAAAGCAATACTTTATGTGCTAGTACTTTTTGTGATCCAAGATTTAAACACATATCATTCCGTGAGAATAGTACTTTAGAGATAATTAAAAAAACAATAATCGCAGCGATAGCCGAAAAGTATACAGCAGAACTTTGCGAATCCCACAGTGAGGCTAATGCCGAAATAAGGCATGACGACGCAAAATCCAGGGACGTTGACGAATTGTCAATTTGGTTTGCATTTGATCAAGCTGCAGCAACCATTGTACCACAAGGAACTTCCATATCTAAAGCCATAATTGAAGTCCAACGGTACATGGAATCTGGAATTATTCCAAGGCAGCAAGATCCTTTAGAGTGGTGGAGAAAAAATAAATATATGTACTCACACCTTTCCCTTGTTGCCCAAGAAAGATTAAGTGCCCTCTGTACGTCGGTACCATGCGAACGCCAATTTTCAACAGCAGGACTGATAGTGTCTGATAGGCGAACTCGTTTCAGCCCGAAAAAAGCCGAGATGCTAATGTTTTTACAAACAAACCATGTGTATTTGTAATTTTTTTGTTTTCCTTTTATTTTATATTCCTCCTATACGTTGAGACTGTTGTTTTTGGTTTTTAAGGAGTTTTTTATTTATTTTTTTTTAATTAGAATAAATGTTTTTGTTTCTAAATATATTTTATAATAAAATGTGTTTTTAAAGATAATTTTGTTTTTATTAATAAACGAACTTTAAAATAACATATTTTTTGTTTGTAATCGATAAACGTTCGAGTATGGTATTTGCTGTTTTAATTTAAGTAGTGATCACAGTAGCAGCTTACAATTACTGTGATTAACAAATCACAATAGCGTTTCACAGTGTGATTAAAAAATCACGGTTTTGCTCATCACTAACAAATTGATAAAAATATTAAATAATTACCGTAAATTTTTTTTGTTTCGTGGAGCTCTTTTTATATACATATAAAACAAAATAATAAAATAAATAAATAAAATAACTTTAATTATCCATAATATACAATTATACACATTCAATATACAATATACAATATGCAATATGCAGTATACAATAGGCAATATAACAATAATAGGATACATAATACAAAATTATAAAATACAAATTTACCCACTATACTTGATAAATAAAGTATTAGTCGATAAGTAATACATACTTGTTTCGACAAAAATAACAACAATAATAATAATAATAATAATAATAAAAGAATAATAATAATCATAATAAGAATAATAATATCAATAATACTAATAATAATAATAATAATAATAATAATAAAATCAATTCTAAAACGACACTAAATCTTAATAGTGTGCGAGAGGTAAGATTATATTGTACAAGAATATTTTTATTTATTTTTATTTTTATGTTAATTTTCTATTATGTCTGAAAACAGCTTTCTTTCAGTTTGCAATATGTACTTTTTTAACTTTTTTTTTAAATTAAATTTAGTTTTTATGGTTTTTAGATCACCCGGTACGTAGTTATATATTTTATTAGATATGTATAGATATGATCTTTGTGTTAAAGATTTTCTTACAAACGGTGGAATTGTTTGATTTACTTTTCTCGTAGGATAAGAGTGTATGGAAGTAAGTTTGTTTCTGGAAAAGTGAAATTTAACATTGACTGCTAAAAAGAATAACTGCCTCAGATCCATAATTTGGCTTTCTAAAAATAATCGCTCAGACGAATATCTATGACCTTTACACATAATTATTTTTAAGAACCTCTTCTGCAGTATTTCTAGTGGATTTATGTGTACTCGCAATGCACTTCCCCAGACTGAGATACAATATCGGAGGTGACTCTCTACTAGAGATGAGTATAGTGTTTTCATCGTCTTTATGGGTAGGTATTTGTTTAAATATTTAAATTTATATAGAATTGTTTGTAGTTTAGTTATTATGTGTTTTATTTGTTTATCCCATCTGAGGTGTGTGTCTATAATTATACCAAGGTATTTAATACTAGTCACAGAATTTATTAATAAGACTTTCCCATGGTCACATATTTTAAGAGAGGTAAAAGGCGCTATATTGAATTTGTTGCAACTAAATGGTAAGAAATTAGTTTTTTTCATATTAATTGTTAGGAGTCTATTGTTGAACCATTTTTTTATTAACTCAAAATCTTTTTCTGTTGTGGACTTTAATTCTGCCCAATTTTCACCCTCGTAAAATACCGCAGTGTCATCGGCATAGCCTAAGATTTGGCCTGTTGTGTTGAGAGAGAAAATATTGTTAATATACAGGTTAAAGAGAATAGAAAATAGCTTTATAAAAGTTTAAAAAATGTTAATACTTTGATTAAAAGCTACTTTATTAGGAGAAATTTATAACCAACCCGTTAACCAACGCTCCAGAAACAGAGTAAAAAGAATCTATGCATTCTTAAGCGACTGTGACATAAACTTACAATCTAAAAATCAACAGTAGAAAGTCAACTCAACAAAAAAACAGTACTATCGAGTTTGTATCGTGTACGATGAAACCGCAAAGGTATGACTCACAATAGATCCATTTTTGGGTCGCAAAGGGAGTAGTTGTTATCACCTCACTCATCAACAACCTATTCTTAACACTCTGCTGACGGTAGCATCCAGTATACATTAGCGACGGCTCGGGCCTTTTCGGCCCGGGTCCAATTTTTTCTAATTAAATGACTGTTAATATTTTTGATATAGGCTAATTAAAACTATTATTATATTAAATTAATTATTTTGAGTTTTAAATATTAAATAATTATTGTGATATGTAAATTAGTTAAATAAAAATATCAATTAAAAACAGACAGTTCCATTTACTAATTTAGTATTGGCAGTGAAGACACATAATACGGCTATGTTCTGAGCACATGTTTTTCTTGCACTGTGAACAAACGCTTTTTATTTTTTTTGTCTTTTTTTGACGGACATATGTGACACCTCTTCCTCTGCAAAATCTAAGAGGGTCCTGCCGTTGGCGCTGCCGTTTGAGTCGCATCATCGTCCACAATTCCTCCGAGTTGCTTTCCCAATTGGATCAGAAATCGTCTTCTTTTACCACTTCTCGTACCTAGATCATTAGAATGATTGAACAAGTACACTATAAAGGCGTTAAGAGCACTGATATCTATCATGTTGGAAAACACAACCATTGGCCACCGACGGGTTTTTCTTTTGACAGAATAGTTACGTAGCATTTGATCGGCCTTGTCCACGCCTGCCTTCGTTTCATTATAGGTTAATATGACCTTAGGTTTCCATTTATTTATTTCATCAATGACGTTTTAGTCATATAAAGTGCTGAGAAGTGTCACAACCTTGTTTTTCTTAGAGCAGTAAGAAACAAGCATAGCGTTCTCCTGGAACCCGAACAGTGTTTACTCCACTTCACGCCCTTTAGCAACTACAAATTCCAGAGTTATTTCAGCTTTATTCTTTCTGATAGTGACTACTATTGTCAAGTTTATCTATAGAAGATCCTGTGCTAAAGGCACACTTGTAAAAAAATAGTCACAAGTGATGTTCCTACCGCTGTTTCTCAATTCAGAAACCAACCCTTTCACGATACGTTCTCCCTGCTTTACTTCACGGGATTCTCTTTCTTCTTTTCCTTTATAAATTTCAGTTTTCCATACGTAGTCAGTCTAATGCCGTATTTTCCAGGTTTAGACGAAATGTATTGCAGAAAAATTTCAGCGGCCCCGAAATGTTACAAGTTGTTCATCTACAGTCATGCACCAACCAGGAACATAATCATCTCTCGAATAAATCTCTAACAGGCTCAAGTTTGTCAGGGGAACGATGCTTTCGCCTCTTCTTTGCGTCATCAAATCTTAGTATCTTAGTGAATCCATCTCGGCTCATTATTCGACTGAAAATAGGCCGTCCATGCTGAGTGTTGAACATGGTACTTTCGTCCTCATTTTTAGACTTGTAAACGCCCATGAGAATAACTAATCCCAAATACTTCTTTACCTCGTCAGTGGTTAACTCCTTTCACTTATTTTTGACCACCGAAGGTCCTTGTTAATTACTCCACTGGCACAGTTTCTTTAAAAGTGGTTGCCTAAAAAATAGTAAGAATGCATCCTCCACTGTTTTGCATTGCCGCTCAGCCCACCTTGTTGGTCCCTCGGTCCCTTCACCGTCTGTAGGGTATATTGGTAGAGGCAAGTCCGGATCGATAACAACTTCCATCTCCTCATCCTCAGAAACCGCCGAAACAGAGTTTGGTTCGACAACATCATCGCTGTCAATTTCACTTCCATCATCATTTTCGTCATCAAACAGGTCAGAATCATCAGAATCCTCATTCAGGATACGATCAAGTTCAGCAATACTGAGATTTGTATACCGCGACATAGCATAAAACACATTTAACAACACCAAACTCTCTGTAACTAAACTGATAAACAAAACAATAGTGGACCAACATTACACATTATGTGCAGCAGCGACGCGACTGCGCGGCTCTTGATAAAGGCTTAGTTTCCTAACAAGACCTTCTTAGAGTGGGGACAACAATAGAAAATGCAGACCACACTCTCAGATCTATATACAAATTGAAATTACCTAAAAGGGTCTAATAGGCCCGGCCGTCGTTAACGGTAGTGCTCTTCATTGTGTTTAAACTAAATAATTTATTGCTTTCAAACTTAATCGATTTGAAAGTATTTGTCTTTTTAGGAAATATCCTACAACATTGAAAACGTTAGATTTAACGGGAAAAAATTTACAACAGTTTTAATTTCTAAATCGGGCCTAATCTACCCGGCCCACTGTGGGGCCAAATCCCAAAATCCTGGCCAAAACCTCAAATAAACTTTGATCAAAATGAAAATTGGTATACAGCGGTTTCGAAGGCCACTGATTACGAATCGAAAGTCTAAATTGTTATAAACAAAATGGTTGGCCCAATATGGCGGAGACAGAAGTGAAAAAGGTGCCAGACCTTAACAAGAATTAGTTTATATGGGGTTTTGAGGTCTTTGATTACGAATCCAAAGTCTAAATTATTATTAAAAAAATGGCCGATCCAATATGGCGGCCATACAAGTGAAAAAAGGTTCCAGAGCATGTTGAAAATTGGTATATTAGAGTTTTCAAGGGCACTGATTACGAAGTCCAATTTATTATTGACAAAATGGCCGATCCAATATGGCGGTCATGTAAGTGAAAAAGTTGCCAGATCTTGTCAAAAATGAGTATAGTTGAGTTTTTTAGTTCGCTGATTACGTTTCCGAAATCGAAATTGTTATAAGCAAAATAGCCGTTGAAAATACCGCGAAATAGACCCTTAAAAGTACCTAAAGAAACCTAACAAGAATTTATTATTGCTATTCGCGCAGGTAAGCAAATATCCAATTTATAGTGAGAACGTTTATTAAATATTACAATTATTCTGAATTTTGTTATTATTATTATTATTCTTGTTTTTGTTGCTGTTGTTATTGTGGTAAATGCCAAATTGTAGACGACGGAGACGAGCTTCCCATCTATTACATTTTCGAATGGACGAAGATTCTTTATTTTTTCTTCAATGACTCGAACT